TATGTCTAATTTAATAAGTTCGAAAATCACGTTCGATGTAGATTAAATGGTCTTGGACTTGAAATATATGGAATAACTCAAGATGCAGAAACTCAGAAATGTTGTATGGTATTTCAATATGCCAATAAGGGAAATCTATGCCATTATTTAATATCAAATTTTAAAAACATCGATTGGGAAAGCAAATTGATGCACCTTGTAGAAATATCAGATGAATTAGCTAGGATTCATAAATCAGGATATGTTCATTGTGACTTTCATAGTGGAAATATTTTGTTAAATCAATATAGCTTCTTTATAAGGTCTTTTATAACCGATCTAGGATTATCTAAGAGTCTGAAAGAATTAGCTTCAAAAGGTAAAGTTTATGGAGTTATGCCTTATATTGCACCGGAAATTTTGCTAGGTGAACAATATACAGAAGCATCTGATATATATAGTCTAGGCATTATTATGGCAGAATTGTCAACTGGAAAAAGACCTTTTGATGGTTCTCCATTCGATTCTGGACTTGCATTCAGCATTTGTAACGGACGAAGACCTGAATTTTCTGAAAGAACACCTGAATGTTATATTGAATTAGCTAAGCAATGCATGGATCCCAACCCGCATAACCGACCAAGTGCTAAAGATGTTAGCTCAAGGCTTTCAAAATGGCGAATGATTATGATGAATCCCTCAATATCAATATCTAACGAAGAAACTGATATTAAAAGGAAGTTTATTTTTGCTAATGACGAGATCAAAGTATCGCAAATTCCTTCGCCGAAAAACCCAAGTTCAATGTATACTAGTAGATCAATAAATACCAAAGAGATTAAACAAGCGTATGAATCATTCAGAGGTAATTTTAGAAATTTGTAAGAAAAATTACATAATTATCCATTTATTGTTTCATTCTAATTATTTTTGCTATATTCATATAATAGATTCGCAAATGTGCGATCTTGATGTGAGGCAATCAACGTTAAGGAATGTGGTTATATGAGCATTTTTGCCGATAATAAATTTGAAGCTCATATTGTCAAAATATGTTACTAGAGCTTTACATAAAAATTTTAAGTTAGCAAGGTTTATAAACTTAGAATTATCATGAAACATACTGATTTCAAACAAATTATGCAGATAAATTTATATTATTCCTATAAATTTTATTTACAACATAATATAGACTTTATTCTCTTTTCAACAATAAAAAAATGGGTATATTTGTTGTGCGATAATAAAAACTTTGTGAATTTAGAACAGTTATAAGTTACGATGGTGTCCTAATTTATTTTATTAAATTTGAATTCCACTTAAGCAGATTTAAATTAATCGATGGCTTGTTGATATACTAAAGCGGAGCAGAATCACGGGACATATGACCAATGAATTTTGACGATCGCCAAGAAAGAAAACGAAAAATTTGAAAAATACAAAAAACAATAGTCTAAACTAGAGAACTAATCTTCACTGTTGCACCGATGGTGCACCAGGTGAAAACTGGTGAAACTGGTGCACCGATGATGAAACTAGGTATAGATGAAACTAATCTTCAATGGTGCACCAGTTTTTGGTGAAATTAGTTCTCTAGTCTAAACCTACCTTGGGTAAGTTAAGTAAAAATGACAGGAAGGTAATTTTGCATATGTAACTATCTAATATAAGATGACCCTAGCCCTAAAGTTAATTCAATAAATTACATAGGATAGTTTTAAGAACAAGGAACTCGTATCATAGAAACAAATGACGTCAGTGCTTGATTTCACATGGATGTGATGATCACTGGGTCCCGTGTTCTTGAAGTGTCCCAAATACATATTCAATTCATTCTATATTTTCCGATGATTATACAAAAAAAAAAAAAGAAGTAATAAACTAACAACTGAATAAGATAAAAAGAAAAATTGAGAAGCAGGCGCACTAAAGCCTTTCATAACGTTGCTTACGCGCAGGGTGAAATTATGAATTCCGCCTAAATTAAGCTTAATTCGGGCCGAAACACGAAATAACGTCCATGGTCGTTATTTCGGTAATACGGTAAATCAAGAAAGATGAACTGTTTTATTAATCCCTTCTTTTAAATATAAGTCTAATTGGATATGGCGACATTTGAGCCTGAATTTTAATTCCATCTTTATGTATACTATTTGGTGCTAAAGAGATTTCATATTTGCGCACTATAAAAAAATTATATTTTTTCTAATAGCCATTTACGCACACTCATAAAAATAAATATTATAGTTCAATAGTTGAACTTATGTAACAAACATAACACAATTCTTTGTTCAATAAGAGAAAAGTTATTTCTAAGCACCTATAAGGGATTATAATCATTATTAAAATAATGTATATATTATATTTGTAATAAAGCAATCAAGATAATAATTAAAGAACAAATTAACATTCTAGTTCCACCACCAAAAGCTAACCAAAAATAATTTTCACTGTGTGCACGTTCATTTTCATATCTCAGGTAAAATTCTTCAGGATTATTTTAAATTTTCAGTTAATTCACGAAATACCAAATATGAAGCCCTTATTTATTAATAGTAGCAATAAAAATTATAAATGTTATAATTTAATTTAAAATAAATTAATGTATAATTTATACTTACTGGTGGATACAATCTAAGATTTTTATAAATAATCACATTATGGCGGATTTGTAAAATATCTCAAAATTTGAAAATTTTGACTATGTAACGTTATTATCCTGATCTATCGATGATATACTTTTTAAATTTTTTGTTATCCATAAAATACTGTCAATGTTACTGACGGTCATTGTAAATTATCAAATTCTATGTTCGTACATATATATAGCGATAAATTTAAAATGGTTATCTAAATTGTACAAAATTTAAAATGGGTTGTGCTAATAGGAATAATAGGTTAAACGTATGTTAGACGTATTGTTATTATAGATCAGGGTGCTAATAATTTTTAAAGTTCAATTTTAAAAATAAATCCCTAAACTTAAATTTGGTGGTTAAAATTAATTAAAGCTGCCATAATAATATTTAAATGATTTATGTTGTTCTGGTGATGTCACCAAGTATACTTAATACTTTTTCTTAAGCTTTTCTTGATCATTCTAGATAAATATATATAGATGCTCAATAGATATAATAATCAATAATAACAATATAATAATAAAATATTTGTCTTGCTTTAAAGGAGTTGATAAAGCGATTGAATCTAATTCATATACATATAATTTTTAAATCATTATAATATTATAAACCTTACAAATATCTTTTAATATAAGTATTAGGTACGTATATACTTACTTGTTTCATGACCAGCAAGCATAAAAATAGCTAGATTATGCTATTTAATTTATCTAATTAAAATTTGATTTATGGTAATAAAATAAAATGAAAAAACCTTTTTATTAACTTACTTTTAGTTCAGTATCAAATAATATTTGATTATTAAAATTTTTATAAGAATTTAACATGTATTCTAAAAGATCTCCTTGAGAATTTCTAGCAGCTAGAGCTTTATGCTTCTCTTTAATTATTTCTTTAAATAAATTATTTAATTTAGCAACTTTTTTAAGTTTTTGTTGTATTATTATTGGAATATAATCAATTGAAAAAAGCAAAGTTAATAGATCTAATATTACCTTTTGAACTTCATTATATGCAGTGTTAGGCTGAAGTTGTGGGTTAAGATGACTGGAAAATATCAACCTAAAACTAACAAAATCCCAACCAACAACTACAATCAGGGCAACTTATTGAAAGAGGTGTTTAGATTTAGGCAGTGAATTGTTCTAAGGCTTCAGTCATCCTTCGAATAATATTACATAATAGTCAACGTTAAATCAATAACTAATCCTTTGGAACTAACACACAAGAAAATCAAGTATCCACAACCCTAGGGATACAAAATTATGATTTCTATGACACTGGAGTAAGTTAGACAAATGAAATAGGAGATTTTACCTATAGGAAAGTAGAATCAGGCAGCATAATGGTATAGTTTTTATCAAAGAAACAAGCAACAAAGATCCTTTAACAATAGGATCAGGTTAGGAAATTAGTGAATTTATATGCAATGTATTATATAAACAATAAAGAATACTTGATTTGTATCAATTGAACAATACCTTTTTGCTGGACGAAAATGCTCTTTATTTATAGATAAATTTAAGTACAATAAACGTGATATACTAATGAAGAACCAAATCAATTTTTCATATCCTTCAAGTAATCACTATTGGCCCAACTCTAGTTATAATAAATAATGAGTAAAAACTACTAATTCATTCTAATTGTTCTTTACATTGTTATTGATTAAACTTTCTTATTCACCATTGATGTATTATTTTTAAGAAATGCATAATACATATTATCCGACACTTTCTATGTAAGCACTTGACATTTTTCATATATATTATTTGTCACTTCCTAATCACTGATACACAAATTTTCGCTTACTTTATATTTGCGAATACACAAATTTTTATCACTATATATTTAAACAGCAAATAAATTCTCAATAAGCTATATACATTTAAATTTATTAATAAATTTAAAATACATCAGACGAAATCTAACTAATTTTCAAATTTATATTTAAATCGTAACTTTGAGATATACCCAGAGGGAGTTGAATAACAATGTTATTAACAGTTAATAATGGCTTTCTATGTTTTTTGTATGATTCAAGCATTGGAGAGTTAGGTGAATATGGTGGTTTAAATAGTGCAATTACAGATGAAGTCAAGTATGAGCTATTTTGAGTATGTGGCTTTATTCTAGGTATTTTTGAAACGTGACTTGCTATTTGATATATGAATAAATGCAAAAAAAAAATTGTTAGCGGTTTAAGCAAGATAAAAAAAAAAGTTACGCAAATAAAAATTTTTGTATACATTTTTTAATCTCTTTTTTTGTAAAATCAGAATTTACAATTGTGTCATTTTGAGGTTGAGTTGATGATAAAATTTCTTTAGTTATATTTTGAGATTGAATGTTTGAAGCTAGTGATTGAGTTTCAGTCAAATTTTGTGCTTGAATTTTTTAAGTTGAAAAAATTAAAAAAAAACAGATATTTAAAGTCATATTAAAAGCAAATTCTTATTGAATAAATTCTTATTGAAATATATATTATCAGAATTCAATTCTTCATTAAGTGCTCTCCATAAAAATTATTATACTTGTATTCATCAAGATCTAATTCCTGTACTGAATGTGGAATTAACATTGCCGTATTTATTAAATGTTGATTATCACTGGTTTTGCAGTAATCTGCTAAACTTTCACAAGATCGATGTCTAGAGAATGCTTGAAGCTCTGATTCAAGAACTCCATTATTCTTTAAAAGTTGAATTGCTATATGATGGCATGAGTGATTGGTAATTAACCAGTTATTATCAAGATTGATTCCAGTATTTGTTGCAATATCATTTAATATTTTTCTAAGTTTTGCATAACCTATCTGATTACTCTTAAACCAGTAATTCTTTATTAAATCTAGTATATAAATATATACATATATATATATATATATAATTATTTATTCATCGTTATATATAGTTAAATAATTATGCATGTATATGTATTTACCTTTTGTTGTTTACAAGTTTCATGAAACAATGGATCCTGCAATTAAGTTGAATTGGGTAATTTAGATAAATACAGAAGAATATCTTTAACTGGAGTATATTGATTGTTAGATAAGTCAGAAGGTATGAGCCAGTTTTTCTATGTTTGTTTCAGTAAAGCTTTCCCCTGATTATTCTTTTCTTTATTTAATATAAGCTCAAATCCACCATAATGACGATGTTGAAGATCATTTCTATTAATATGATATGCATTGCCACCTCGTAACCCATATAATAAACACAACCAAAAGAATACATGGCAGCATAAAGATTCATTTGAATTGATATCTATATATTGGTGAGTAAGTATTTGTTCAATTTCTTTAGAAGTTAATTCATCTGATTTTTTTGGGTTACCAAGTTCTTTACTTTGTAAAATTCTCATTTTTCTATCCAATGTATGAAGAGCATGAGAAAATTTATAGCGATTCCAAATTTTTATTGATAGAATAACACTATGTTCTTTGAAATATCAGTTAATAGCACTATAACAATTGTGAACTGACTCTACTTTATAGTCTGAACTGTTCTCTTTCTTTAACCATGTAATGAATAGGATTCAAGTTCATTAGTATTGTCAATTAATTCAATTGTTTGAGTTATAACACAACTTTTATTAAATTGATTTAATGTTTTAATCCACTTTGTTATATTTTTTTCAGTATTTGTTATGAGTGATGTAACTTGTAATTGGTTTATTTCATCCTGTATTGAAAGTTGCAAAGCCATTTTCTTTTGAAACAAGAAAGTAAGCGAAGAAATGTAATTAAAGATAGTTATATATATATATATATATATATATATATATTACACAAACCAAATTTGTTTACTGTTAAATAGCAAAGAATTCGAAAGTAAAATGAGCGAAAATGTAAACAATGATTAGAAAGTGATCATATATATATGAAAAAGGTCAGTACTTACGTCAGAAGCATCAGATAACCATGTTATCAGTCAAATTGCAAATGACAAATCTGATTATTGTTGGGATTTATAATGTAGAGCCCATGCTGCTTTGCAGCACAGGCTCCACATTATATCCCAACAATAATCAGTTATTGTCTACAACATAACTGATAACAAGTACTTAACGGTCATTAATCACTAGAAAAACTATATATAGTAATTTATCTACAAAATAAGCTATGGCTATGCACGTGAGATCAACTGCAGCCAAAATTAAATTACCAAAGATTAATATTTTCCAGGCTACAGCAATTATATAAATAGTATTCAGATTTTCAAGACTCTAATACTTATTAGAATATAGAGTTTGCCAGTTATCTATAATTAGTAATTTTTATTAACTCTTATGTTAAAGTCAAAAGCAAAGGCAACTTTTCTAAAAACAACTAAAGTAAATCTATAAAAATTTTGATTTTATAATAGTGATTTAAAAAAAGAAATAATGAAATATGTATTAATAAAGTTTTTTTTTACCTTTGCATTAAATTTTTAATTTCAATAGGGTTTTTTTATTAATTTTTTCTAAAATATCAACCATCTCTAAATATAATTATTAAATTTTGCATAACTATAGTGACAAATAGATTAAGTTTAATTAATGTTGTATATAAAAACATTGATCTTATTTAATGAGATCCATCATACAAATCCAAACAGTTAATTAATTGAAAATTTAGCAACAAAGTTCTTTATTATAAAATATTTTATAATATTGGACAAACTTATAAAGTTCTAGTCAAAATCTCAATTTTAACAAATTGTCAACCTTAGTAATGACAAAAAATAAAGAGATGTAAGAGTACCTGTGCCTTTTCCAAACCTAAAAAGTTTAAGTTCTAATAGTAAGATTTAGTAAAGAAAAAATAAGAATAAGTTTAATTTTAATTATTATTTACGTCATCATTTGAGAAAACCACATTAGTTCTGATGTATTCTGCAAATATAGAATTCAGAAAAAACTTTTCAATATTTATTTGGGATAAGCATCTATTAAAAAAACTTAGGATAAAGATTTTGTAAATACGACATGGCAGATTAATTATTATTAAAAACGTACCTAGTTTCAAAAAAAGATCCTTTGCAATCGCTGGGTCTGTCACCATGCAGATCCACTTTCATCTAATACATTCGTATATGAAGTAAATATCTCATTATTTAGTTGATGGTGTGTTGATAAATTTTACCTTTACAATTTCATATATTTCAAAATATTCCTTATAACTGAAATATAGTGTAACCATCGTAAGGGAGAGCTTGGTATTGTCATGCCGAATTTAACTCTGATTGTTGACATTAGAAAGGTCACATGTATTGAGCAATAAATTATAGTATTCGGATATTCATGATTTATTAGGCATTTATTATAAAAAAGAACGTGAATATATGTGACCTTTATTTATAGAGAAATTTGGAAGAGCGAATGTTATCCTCACCTAAGGATGAAGACGCACTCTTATATACATTCTAATTTTCCAGATTGCCAACATAGGGATCTCAACGCTTACGATTAGATTCCACATTTACGATTAGATTCCACATTTACTCAAGGCGCAATGATTACAAATTCGTGAATACGCTCTATTTTGAACGTAAACGCTCTATTTTGAGCGCAAACGTCTTGCATGAATTAAGTCACCAAGAATACATAATAATGCCTAATACTACTAAGGTAAGATTAGCATGACTATGATAGTACAATTATAGAAAGTAAGTGACAAAGAATTAGACAAATACGGAAGTTATGAGACACAGGAAAATTATAAAATATAGCATGCTAGCTTTTTATATATTGATGCTATTATTAAAGTTAGAATTTTCAGCAAATTATTTTTGCAAATAAAAAAATTAAAGGGTTTGATTTGTGGTACACGGGCAGATTGTATTAGGGTAGGAATCATAAAGTCATTATTAGCCGACTAAGTTTTTTTGTAATCAGTCGATCAACTAGTTGACTAATTGACTAGTTAACTAATCGACTAGTTAACTAATCGACTAGTTATTTAATTAACTAGTTAATTAATCAAAGGTTAATATGCAAATTTAATTGGTTAACTATTGATTAATTGACTAATTGATTAGTTGACTAGTCGATTAATCGACTAATCGTTTAGTCAATCGAAAACTAACAGTTTTAGTCGACTGACTATTCTACTAAAAATTTCTAACCGATTCCAATCCCTAAATGTACAATATGTAAATTTGAAATTTGCCTTAGTTACCTAATTTTTTTAAAAAATTAACCACGATCATTCTTATTTAAGGGTGTTTTCAAGCATCAACCTAGATGCGAATTCATGTATTATGACATAATTTTTAGGTATTGTCATAACATTTTGGATAAAAGCCAATAAATACGAATGAGGATACTATTACTATAATTTTCTAATAATTGTAATTATGCTCAATTGCAAGGATAGACAAAATAAAGATCTCAATCTCATCTTGAGATGATTCTAAATAATTTATCGGAAATTTTACTAAAAATGTGTGCCGCTTATGAAATCCATAATAAAAGTATAAAAACAATTGAACAATACTTTATTAACTTTAATATTTATAAGGTTTCGACAAGTCAGCGCAGAAAAAAAGGAGGTTTGGAGAAAAAAGTATTTTGACTGAAATGGTAAACTTACCGATCATTTTTTACTATTTAAAATTTTTCTTTCACGTAATAAGCTACCCTACTTATCTTAACGACAAGCTCGTTAAAAATATTTTCTGTTAATTAAAATTTAATTCCCAACACATTTTCGACATACTTTGACCCATTAATTAAGACGCTTGGGAACGCCCTAAACATGTTTTGTGTAAAATGATTTTTGTCAAAATAATGTTACGATAAAAGTAATTTAGCTAGAATCTAAAAATATTGATTATGGGTTAAATATGGAAAATGACCAATAGAAATTACCTAGGAGTTGGTTTTTTATTGATTACAACTACAGTAAGTTCATACATAATTTGTATATTTTATATATCCATAACTTAAGATTATAAAAAAAAATATTTTTTTAAATAGGTTTTTAATCTTTTATAATAATACAAAAACTAAAGCTAGTATTTCTAATGGTTAAATTCAAAATTCAACATTAATCATGCTATCAATTGAACCAGGATCAGTATTTTTATTTAATGAATCCACCCTCTACTATTTGGCAGTTCTTCGTCACTAATTTTTTATAAGCAGGACGTTTTTCCACGTATTTCATTGGTCCATGTTATCTTTAAAAAAAATTTTATAGACTTTATATTAAAAGGATAGGGTTCAAAAAAAAAACACTTTTTTTTACTAAGTAAACCTCTTTTTAAAGTCTAAGTAAAGTTGTAGAAGAGGTTCTTGCGGTCAAAATGGCAGTTAGAACGCTAAAATTGGCCCAGTGGTTCTTGAGATATCTTGGGCTAAAGGTGCGAACATAAGGATCGGCAAAGACACTGTTACACAAAGTGTGTTTACTATTATCTTTGCAATTGTCTTTGGAATTTGGAGTTTTTCTTTTTTAATTACTAAGTAAACCCCTTTTGTGATCTAAGTAAAGTTGTAGAGAAGTGTTTTACAATCAAAATAGTGGTAAAACTGTTAAAATCGGCCCAGTGGATCACGAGATATAAGCCTTTTTGTCTTCGCGACTATATGTTTTCTTCTTTATTTATATAAAGAAGAAACATGTAGTTGCGAAGACGAAAAGGCCTATGTATCCTGATCCACCAGGTCAATTTTAACGTTTTTACCGCCATTTTGATCACAAGATGTTCCTTTACAACTTTGCTTAAACCTTGAAAAGAGGTTTACTTAGTAAAGAAAATATATATTTTCAAAAACAATAAATAGTATACAATATAGTTGCATAGGGGTGTTATTCCGAATTTCGGCCCGAATTAAGCTTAATTTAGGCCAAAATTCGAAATTATACCATTTGGGTTCATTGGAACCCAATTCGGGTTTGTTGGAACCCATACCGGGTTCGTTGGAATTCAATTCGGGTTCATTGGAACTCAATTCGGGTTCGTTAGAACCCAATCCGGGTTCGTTGGAATCTAATTCGGGTTCGTTGGAACTCAATCCAGGTTCTTTGACCTCAATCTGGGTTTTTTCGAACTCAATTCAAGTTCTTTGACTCCAATTTGGGTTCTTTGACCCCAATTCGGGTTCTTTTGGACCCAATTCGGGTTTTTGGACCAAAATTCAGGGTTTTTTGAACCCAATTCAGATTTTTGGACCCAAATTCAGATTCTTTTGAACCCAATTCGGGTTCTCTGACCCAAATTCGGGTTCAAAAGAACCCAATTCAGGTTCTTTACCCCAATTTGGGTTTTTTGACCCTAATTTGGATTCTTTGACCCAATTCAGGTTCTTTTGAACCCAATTTGGGTTCTTTTAAATCCAAATTGGGCTTATAGTTGAAACTTAAAAAAAAAAAGAAAAAAAACTTGAACTTAGACACTACGAAATTCTAAGAATTAGCAAAAAATTAAAAACTTGAACCCGGTCAAGAACCGGGTCTTAAGAGCTAGTATAATTCTAATCAAAAGTTATATTATGTTTGTTTAATAATTTTTTAAGTTTTATATATAATGTTTACCATCTAGTACTGTGTATAGTACCCAGTATAACACGAATTTTACATAGTAAAAAATTAAAAATCATGTGTATTACACAATTGTTTATGTCACATGGCATATGTAAATAATATTCTAAAAAATAGATCTACATTATTTGTCACTGGGTATTGTTTTGATCTACAAAAAACGTGATTTTCTCAAAATTTTTGATCTAATCTAAATGCAGATTTTCCCCTTTTCTATTAAACAGCACCCATATCATTAGACTAGTACAAAAGTCAAGTAGGATATAGATTATGCTAAAATTTATCAAGAAATTTTTTATTTTTTTTATTTTTTTATTTTATTTTATTATTTATTTTTTCGTTAGAACAAATTATTTTTTTTTAACGTTTCGATTGTAAAAAACTTATGTTACATCAAATCTTGTAATTTGATTTATTGGTATGACATAATTTTATTTGTATCACTTTGCCAACATATAGATAATGACCTCTAATACATTCTGGGCATATTGGTTTTGCACTAACCTTACTATGAATAAAGAAAGCCAAAATTTTGAATTTTGTTTAAAACCTGTTAAAAGTGGAAATTTTTATGGAATGAATAATGTTGGTTTTTGTTACCAAGAAGGCATAGACACTGTCAAGAATAGAAAAAAGATATTTGAGTAGTATTTTAAATCTGCTAAAAGTGGCAATTTTTAAGGACAATTTAATATTGGATTATGCTATGAGTATGGAAGAGGTACTATTATGAACAAAAAAAAGCATTTGAGTGGTATTTGAAATCTGCTGAAGATAGTAGTTCTGACAGACAAGCTAGTCTTGGAATTTGCTATGAAAAAGGTATAGAAATTATTAAAGATGAAAAAAATATTCAAGTGGTATTCGAAATCTGCTGAAGTGGCAACTTTAAAGGTATAACAAGACTTATTAATGGTAGGTCATTATGGTCTTACTTTCGGTCATGCTAGAATTTTTTATTTATAATTAAGTTCTTTTATTAATGTTAAGAAGAAGACAGGAATATACAAGCGAAAAGCTATCTAATAAACTTATTATTATTCCCCTTTTTATACTGTTGCTTTTGCATTTTCTATTAATAATACAAATTAATTACTTCATCAATGACTACATTTCTAATGCTTTGCTCAATAAACTACCTATAAATGACTATATAATTAATGCTTCACTTATTAATTAATTACTAAACTACCTATTAATTACTTTATAATTAATGCGCATAATTCATTTGTCCCAGTCACATGGTCACATGTCATTTAATCTGTGATCATTACCCTAATCATGTTCATTTCATCGTTACGGGTTTCACATGGCTTTGATTTAGGATTTTTGAAGAGATAATCTATTTCTTTACACTCTTCTCTACTTAAAGATAATTTCATTCCTTTTTCGAACTCTTCAATCAACAACTTACAATTAACCAGATTTGTAACAGGTTCCCAGGTGGCATCATGAAGTGGGTATCTCTTCTATTTTACTAAGTATTGTGTTTGATGATGAAATACTTGTTTATCTAAAATGCACTCTACCTCGTATTCAATTTTTGAAATTGCTTCTACTATTATAGATGGTGGTGGTAGAATATTTCTATCGCTAAATTCATTAGAGTAGTAAAGTTTTAATAGTAAAATGTGGAAAACAGAATGAACTCTAATTGTTTCCGGTAATTGTAGGCGGTAAGCGGTGGTGGAGACTTTTTCAACAATTTCAAAAGGTCCTATAAATCTTGGGATGAGTTTCCTTGATAGTCTTTGAATATTTTCTGGTGGTATTAAATTTTTCGTATTTAATATAACTTTTTCCCCAACTTGAAATTCAACAAAATATCTTTTCTTGTTTGCTTGAGTTGCTTTGCACTCTTGTGCTTCCACTAACATGTCTTTGGTGATATTCAAAATTATAGACCAATGTTGATGTAGTTTCTAAACCGCTTTCACTTTAGTTGGTAGTATACTAGTTGCTAGAATGCTGCTAGGAGTTAAGGAATATCGTCTATAGTCTAATTGAAATGGCATAAAGCCCGTGGATGCTTGCTGTGAATTATTATATGCAAATTCTGCCATGGTAAAAATTTGCTCCCAATTATCCTGTTTATAGTTAATATAAGCATGTAAAACTTGCTCTATTGTTCAGTTAGCACATTCAGTTTGGCTATCCATTTGTGGATATGCAGCTGTTGACATTTTCAATTCAGTCCCTATCAACCTAAAAAGCTCTTTCCAAAATGCACTTGTGAATTTTGGGTCCCAGTCTGATATAATGTTTTTAGACATCTTATAGTGCTTAAAAATTTCTGAAAAAATAATTGAGCTATCTCTACGGCTGTGACGGTTGCTCTTGTAGGTAAAAACCGTATCTTCTTATTTAATTTATCAATAATTATTAATATGGATTCATTTCTATTTATAGTGCATGGAAGGTGAGTGATAAAATTCATGAAAATAGTTTCTCAAGGCTGCGAAGGAATTTCAAGGGGCTGCAATAATCCTGACAAAGCTTGTGTAGAACTTTTATTTTTTTGACAATTATTACAGCTATGTATATATTTTTTTTATATCTTTACTCAAAAATATTCTCTTCTCAAACTTTTGTAGGTCTTTTCAAATCCAAAATGCCCACTTGCATTGTGTTGTTCTTTTAACAAAGTTAACTTTAATTTTGACTTCTGTGCAATATACAATCGAGAGTTTTTAGGATTTTCTTTAAAATGATTAATCCTTTACTATTTAGTTTATAATAGTTTAACCATTTTCCAAGTTGTTTTGCTTTATTACTTTCAGGGCTTTCAAGTGCTTTCAACACAACTTTAAGATAAGTGTTTTCTTTATACTCATCCTTAAGTTTTATATAATTTTTCAGATCAATACTAACAATATTGATCAAATTTGTTTTTGGTTTTCTGAAAAGAGCATCAGCTACAACATTGATTTTGCCAGAGCAATATTTGACTGTAAAATTGTAAGCTTGAAGGGTTTCTAACCAATGTGCTTGTCTCCGCAAAAGCTTTGCTTGGGTTTGTAAATACTCCAAGGATGTGTGGTCTGTTATCATGCAAAATAATTTCTCTTCTAAGTAAATGCACCAAACTTTTAAAGCAAGAATAATTGCTAACAATTCCTTTTCATACACAAGATAATTTAACTAGGCTGGCATTAATTTCCTAGATTCGAAGGCCATAGGTTGTTCTCCTAATCTATGGTCTTGAGACAAGACGGCTCCAATAGCAACATCAGAAGCATCTGTTGTAACTAAAAATATTTTTTCATGGTTAGGAATTGCTAGAAAAGATAGTGCTATTAAAGACTTTTTAAGCGTTTCAAATGCAAGTTTTTGTGGTTCTTTCCATTCAAACTGTTGTTTCTTATGTAGTAACTTTGTTAAGAGCACCACTATGTCGGAAAAATTTGTTACAAATTTTCTATAATAGCTGGCCAGACCCAAGAATGACTAACCTCATGTATACTAGTAAGTTCAGGCTATTTTTCTATTATAGCTATCTTTTTGTGTCAACTTTGACGCCTTCGTAAGATATTATATAGTCTAAAAATTTAACTTCTTTCTTTCTCCATTAATACTTCTCTAACTTCCCATATAGCTTGTGGGTTCAGAGAATCTCAAATACTTGACATACATATTTATAATATTTGTTTTGTGTTTTACTGTATATTAATATATCATCTAGGTATACTATGATACTTTTATTGAGTTGAGCGCGAAAAATGTTATTCATTAGCCTCATAAATGATGCAGAGTATTTGTTAGCCCAAAGGGCATAACTAAAAACTCAAAATGCCCATATCTAGTTTAAAAAGCAGTTTTTGATATATCAGCCTCCTTAACTCTAATTTGGTAGTATCTCGAATATAAGTCAAATTTTGTAAAAAATTTTGTACTATGCAACTGGTCTAATAATTTATCAATACATGAAAAAGGATAATGGTTCTTTATTGTAATTTTGTTTAGAGCTCTGTAGTCGATGCATATTCTTAGAGATCCTTCTTTTTTGGCAACAAAAAGAACCGGAGTGCTATAAGGTAAAGCACTAAGTTTTATAATGCCTTTTTCTAGATAATCCTCAATTTGCTTCTTTAGTTCTTTCATTTCAGGTGCTAATAACTGATAAGTAGGTCCGAAAGAGGGTTGTGCACCTTCTTCTAATAAAATTTCATAGTCTACCACCCTTTCTGGAGGTAATTTATTGGGCAGGCTTTTAAGAAACAATTCTTGGTACTGTTGCATTAGGTTTTTCAAGAACTTTGGTACTTGGTGCTTTATACTATCATGTGTTTTATCAGGGTCTTGTGATGTGATTATGGCAAACAATTCAGCTGTGAATTTTACTTTCTGTGAAAATTGTTGCTTTGTCAAGAGTGTCAGTTGGTCCACCTTTGTGTATTCTGATGCTATGGCTTTTATGTTATAAGTACATCCACCTTTCCTAACCTCAATCTGGTTATTTCTCTAGTTAACTCTAGGGTTTAGATCAAAAAGCCATAGCTTTTCTAAGATCATGTGTATTTTTGTAAAGATAGGACTTTAACATTATTCTTTGTATTTTTGTAAGTTTGTATTTCTACTAATATATTTTTAATACTCTTGATTGTCTCACAATGAGTACTATCTGCTAACTCAATTATATTTGATTGACTATTTTCTTTATACTTAAATAAGTTTGTTCTTTCGGTGAAATTAGACTCACAAAGTTTTTTGATACTTCTGAGTTAATATGGATCAAGTCATTTTCTCCTTGAACTCTCCTGTTCATCTTGAGAAGAGTTTCTCTATTTAATTTATTGTTCACAACAGCTTCCTCTTTATTTATTTCGCAATTTGCACTAACAATATTTGCTTCATTCATATAGTCTTTACTGTGACAGTCATATGCCATGTGACTCTTCTTGCCACATTTAAAACAAAGTTCTTTTTTTTGTAATCTGCTTTTTGATCTGGTGGTAATGCTTTTCCTTTTCTTTTTTATTTCATGTAGGGCCTTTATTGTAAGAGATTTATGCCCTATCTATTTTCATTGGTGTGGGGCCTTGTTCAACAAAGCTTTTGGTATGCTTTGCTAACTGCCTTCTTTTCTTTGTTCAAAGGATTCATACTGAGAGACTTTGCTTTGATCAAATTTTGAAGGACCATATATTGCTATGTCAAAGCTTGCAGCAAGTTAACTGCATCATCTAAGGTATCTGGGGCCCGACAATTTACTTTAGCTTTCATGGCACCCTTTACACCTTCAGTAAAATATATAACTTTATCAACTTCATGCATTTCTTTAATTTGCCCTAACAAATTCTTAAACCTGGATGTGTATTCTTGAACAGTAGAGTTTTGCTTAAGATCCTGTAATTGACGTTTTAGAAGTTGCTGATGGTGGGGAGGTTGAAAGGCTGCTTTAATTCTATCAGCGAACGAAGGCCAGTCTTCAAATAGTGATTTGTCTCTGTGCATCTGCACTTGATTCAAATACTATTGCAGTGCTGCGTCTTTCAAACCAGTGATGATATTTAGCAATTTCTCTTCATCCTTAATCTTTCGTGCTTTAAACAAAAGGTCAACTTGTAGGAGCCAAGTTAAAATGTTTTCTCTATCTTTTCCATGAAATACCAGAAGTTGAACAGTTAGTCCTCTTAATATATCATTTTCAATTCCTGTATTGAAAAGGTTTGTTGTTCGCAAGTAGTCAGTAGCAGTTTGCTATTTCTGTTGCTGTTGTGCAGTGACCACGAAATAACTGTTTAGTTAGTGCTGGCTTTGTAAGAATTGTTGGAATAGGGTTATGAAATCTTCTTTTTTGCTGGATGCATATTCAGGCATGTTTTCTATTATTTTTTTATTGACTTATGTAGTGTAATATGATTTTTGTTTTTGTTTATTATTATTTTTTTTTATTTAAAAAATCTTGCTAACTATTGGCTTAAGAATTATTATTAAGAGGTTTCAATCAGCTTATCAAAAATCAAATTGCTAGCAGGGAAGTATAAATTTCAACTTCACTGTCTTTACTGTTGTGTTGCTTGTGAAGAGTTTAAATAGTCTTCTAAGCTTTTTTCTTTATTAATGATCGCATAGAGCTAACACAGTTATTCGTTGTATTTAGCAAGTGTTTAGATAGAAAATTTCTTCTGCTACTACCAAGTATAACAAGACTTATTAATAGTAAGTTGTTATGGTCTTACTTTTGGTCAATCCAGGATTTTTATTATAATTAAGTTCTTTTATTAATGTTAAGCAGAAGACAGGAATATACAAGCGAAAGCTATCTAATAAACTTATTATTGTTCCTCTTTTTATACTGTTGCTTTTGCATTTACTATTAATAATACAAATTAATTACTTTTATTAATGACTACATTTCTAATACTTTGCTTAATAAACTACCTATAAATGACTATATAATTAATGCTTCACTTATTAATTAATTACTAAACTACTCATTGATTACTTCATAATTAATGCACATAATTCATTTGTCCTGGTCACATGGTCACGTGTCATTTGATCCGTGATCGTTACTCTGATCACGTTTATTTCATCATCACAGGTTTCACATGGCATTGATTTAGAATCTTTGAAAAGATAATGTATCTCTTTACAAAAGGACAATAATATTGGAATGTGCTATGAGTACAGAAGAGGTACTGTTATGGACAAAAAAAAAGCATTTGAATGCTATTTGAAATCTGCTAAAGGTAGTAATTCTGATGGCCAAAGTACTCTTGGATTTTGCTATTAGAGAGATGCAGAAATTACTAAAAATAAAAAAAAGTATTAGAATAGTATTCGAAATCTGCTGAAAGTGGCAACTCCTACAGACAAAATAATCTTGGAAGTGGCTATTATGATTGTATAGGTATAGCCAAGAATGAAAAAAAGCATAAATAGGTTTTGAAATTTGCTGAAAGTGGTAATTTGATGGACAATATACTCTTGGATTTTGTTATAAGAAATGTATAGGAATTGCTAAATATGAAAAAATAGCATTTGAGTGGTATTCAAAATCTGCTAAAAGTGGCAACATCTATGGACAAGGTAATTCTAGATGGTGCTCTTATAATGGTGTAGGTACTGCAGTAGATAAAAGTAAAGCATTTGAATGGTATCTAAAATCTGCCAAATCTAGTAATCATGTTGTGCAAAAATGCATTGGATAGTGCTATCCAAATGGTATAGGTACAAACAAGAATGAAAAAAAGGCAGAATAGTATTTAAAATCTGCCGAGAATGGTGATTTTGATGCACTATATAAACTTGGATTATATTATCGAAACGATTTGTGAACAGCACCTAATCAGAAAAAAGCCTGCAAAAAGCAAAAAAATACTAAGTATAAAAAATAACTAATTATGAAAATTTTGATATTAATGACTTTTTGAAAGAGTCATTACTTGAAAATAAGATATCAGTAGTATGGGTGCCACTTCATGAATTAGATTTTATAGAGAAAATGTGGAAAGAAGGATTTGCAACTGTTTATTCTGCTTTGTGGAAACACATTATTGCAGATGACAGTTTTTATATAAACATGTTGCGTTTAAAATATTTCATGAAAAAAGTAGCTGTGATGAATTTATTAAAGAGGTACATATTAAATCGTTTAATGTTTGCTCTATTTAAAATTTATTATTAATATGTATTATAACACAATTTTAAAGCTAAAAGTGTATTCTAGTATTGGAAAAAATAATCCAACACTTTTACAATATCATGGAATATTAAGAGATGAAAGTACAGGTGACTATATTTTAGTTATACAATATGCAAAATAGGATCTTTATGTAATAATCTTTATAAAGTTGAAAAAATGAGATAGAAGAAAAAATTAGAATTATTATCTTATATCGCATTTGATCTTCAGTTAATTAATTCACATAATATTATTTACCAAGATTTACATAGTGGAAATATGTTTCAGGATGATTTACATATATTGAGCAGCAGCAATAAATAAACCATTAGAAGCGAAATCTAGAGTAATTTATGGTACATTACTATACATTGCTCCAGAAATTTTACAAGAGCAATTATTTACCAAAGCATCAGATGTTTATTTATTTGGGATAATTATATGGGAAATTTAACAGAAAGGATTATATTTTCTGATTATAAAAGTGAAGACCTAAACTTAATAATAAAAATTCGTGAAGGACTAAGACCAAAGATTCTTAAAGATACAACCATATATTATACTGAACTTTTAAAGAAGTGTTGGAATAAGGATCCAGAAAAACGTCTAACAGCCTTAGAAATTTATAAAACCATTACAAATTGGAGAAATTATCATAATGTTTTATCTAAATTTGTAAATACTGATAAAGAAATAATTATAGAAAATAATCCATTTGATGTCAATTTTGATAACAATTCAGTTTATGGGTGCTTTCAAGTGCCTTAATCAATAGATTGGTATATAAATTTTAATTAATAAAAATTAGCTCAGCTGGTCAAGAGAGTTTATCACTGCAGTCAAAAAAAAAGATGGTTAGTTGCTATCTTTTTTCTTTAAAGAGCTGCATTTATTGGCCAAAATTTATCATAGAGTGAGATTATTCAAGCATATTATAATCAAATCATTATTTTTTTACAATCAAATTATATATATTTTTTACAATCAATCTATTATTTTTTTTTGCGATCGAACCATTGTTATTTTTTTTTGTCAAATTATTATTTTTTTTTACGATCAAATCATTATACTCTTCATGCTAAAACCTAAAAAATTTTTTATTAATTTTTTATAAAAAAATTACAAATTTAAACAAAATTCAATATATACTTCTTCACTAATTCAATCAACTCTTTCTGACGATCATCTGGACCACCAATTTCCAAAAATATTTTACAAGAAAAAACACCGGACATCAGGACACTTCAATGAAATGTTGAGGTTTAAAGCATAAGACATGAAAAAATGACTTGCAGGACAGCTCTTGTTGTTTAGAGGTAGTTCTCATATGCTACCTGCTAACTTGTTTCAGAGTTTATCACTCAC